TTAAAAATACTCTAACAAGTACAGTGGCACACGTATATAGTCCCAATTACTCAAGAGATTGAGGCAGGAGGATCACAAGTTCAAGCCTAGCCTGGACAATTTGGTGACTTAGACTATCTCAAAATAAAAAATAAAAAGGGCTAGGGAGGTAGTTCAACATTCACTGGTTGAACCCCCAGTACTAGAGTTCCTAGGGCAGGCCAATGTCATCCTGTATTAGCAAAGAGAAAGTGCATTTTCTGAGATTATAATCCTCGGGCCCGACTTCAGGACCACAGACCTGCCTGCCCAGCTGCCTCTATAACCACCACCCAGGCCAACTGCCAGCTCCAGGCAGGCCACAAAGCCCTGCCCTCAAGCTGTCCCAGTGGGAGGGGCCCCCTCTGGTCCAGCCCCATCCCCACAGAGGCCCGCCCCTGGACTGAGTCCTGTGACTGCCTACAAAAGCTCAAAGTTTCCAGCAGCTGCTGTTCCTCCGGAATCTTCTGGAGCAGCTGGGGCACTGTGTGGAACTGAATCTGGCTAAAATCTCCCTGGGCTCCCACCCCCTGGGGCAAGAAATTTGGAAGATGAGGCCCTTCAGTCCAGAGGTCAGCAGGGATAAGGGGGGCAAACTGTTGGGTGTATGGAAGGGCTGGGCTGACCTCTTCTTGGTCCCTGAACATCCTTTCTTCCAGTAGCTGCCAGTATTTCTCAGGAAGAGACGGGAAAGGGTCCTTTCATCCATCAGCTCTTTGCAGAACAGATATCATGGCCCTGACCCTTGGAAGAGTGGGGTGGACAAGCTTATGGAGGAGAAGGCTTATGAGAGTCAGACGGCAGTGGCCTGGCCCCAGAGGCAACTCAGATATTCCCTCCAGTGGTAATGCTCCCTGACCCATGCTTCTGCTCTGCTTGAGCCCTGAAGGTCAATGTTTAACTAAAGCAGAGATAGATTTATGAAAAAGGGGTTCAGGCCACCTGCCTTAAGCAGGGGTCAGAACCTGCTCTCAACTGTACCTCCCCTGGCTAGGTTTCCCCACACCCACCCCGTGTCGTCACAGCCCACCTGCTTCGAATTTGTACCCTCTTCCTGACCTTGCTGGACATGACCCCAAGCTCCAGGGCTCCTGTGGTACCCAACCAACCCTTCATCACGGTCTGGAATGCAGACACCCAGCAATGCCTGGAGAAGTACAGTGTGGATGTGGACATCAGTGTCTTTGATGTGGTAGCCAACCCTGGGCAGACCTTTCTTGGCCCTAATATGACCATTTTCTACAGCTCAAAGCTGGGCACCTACCCCTACTACACAGCCACTGGGGAACCTGTGTTTGGTGGCCTGCCACAGAATGCCAGCCTAAGTGAACACCTGGCCTACGCATTCTATGACATTCAAGCTGCCATGCCTGCACCTGACTTCTCAGGGCTGGTGGTCATTGACTGGGAGGCATGGCGTCCACGCTGGGCCTTCAACTGGGACACCAAAGATATTTACCGGCAGCGCTCACAGGCACTGATTCAGGCACAGCACCCCGATTGGCCTGAAAGTCGGGTGAAGACAGTAGCCAAGGAGCAGTTCCAGGAGGCTGCGAAGGCCTGGATGGCAGGTACTCTCCAGCTAGGACAGACACTGCATCCTCGTGGCCTCTGGGGCTTCTATGGCCTCCCCGACTGCTACAACTATGACTTTAAAAGTCCAAACTATACAGGCCAGTGCCCATTCGGCATCTCTCCTGAGAATGACCAGCTAGGGTGGCTGTGGAACCAGAGCCAAGCCCTCTACCCCAGTATCTACATACCTGCAGATTTGATAGGCACAGGGATAACGCAGAGGTATGTGCGACACCGTGTGGGTGAGGCATTTCGTGTGGCTAGGACCTCCAGGAACACCAGTCTACCAGTGCTGCCCTACGTCCAGATCTTCTATGACACAACAAATCATCTTCTGCCCCTGGTAAGTCTGTGACCCCACCCTTCTCATCAGCCAGCCTTATTAGGAGTTAAGTCCAAAACTGAGGCCACATAGTCTTGGGGAAATTTCATCCATGCATTCTCACATTCTTTGAGTATGTACCTTGTGCTAAATTCTGCACTAAGTACAGATCGTTTTTGTTGTTGTTGTTGTTTGTTTGTTTTTGGTACCAGGGATTGAACTTAGGACTTTGTGCTTGCAAGGCAGGTGCAATGCCACTGAGCTAAATCCCAGCCTGATGATTTTTTTTACATAAATGTTTATTTTCTTTTACCCCATTTCTCCCCAAGCCTCCTCCCTTCCCTAGGTACTGAAGCTTTGTTTCCATTTTTCTGTTTTTACTTTTTTCTTGTCCCTTCCTTTTCTCCTTCGCTCCTCCCTTTCCCATTTGAACATTTTCTTCCCATTTCCCAACATCCATTATACATTTCAGTCCTTATTTCCACTTTCAGTTTTGCACACCAGAGAAACAATGTGGTATTTAAGCATGTGTGTCTGATTTATTTCACTTTAGAGTATAGTCTCAAGGTCCATCCATTTAGCTATAAAGGTCTGAAGTCCCTTCTTCTTTATGGCAGAGTAGTACTCCATTGCATAAAAATACACATCCTCTTTGTTCACTCTTCTGCTGATGGGCACTTGGGCTGTCACCAAGATTTAGCTATTACAAGGGTTGGGGATTTAGCTCAGTGGCACTACACCTGCCGCGCAAGTGCAAGGTCACAAGGTCCTGAGTTTGATCCCTAGTACCAACAATAAAAATAAAAAGATTTAGCTATTACAAACTGTACTGCTATAGTATATGTGCTGCCAAAGTGAGCACCAAACTGTACTGCTCTAAACATGGATGTGCATATATTGCTGTGGTATCATGCTTTTAATCCTTTTGAGAAGATACCAAGAGGCATAGCTGCATCAAATGGAAACTCTAGTTTGTTTACTCCTAGTCTTTGTGGCACTTACATGCTATAGGGGTATCACAGGCTTGCCTCTGGCCACCAAGGCAAGCTCAGGTGGGGTTTCGCCCCATCCCATAGGTCAAAGCAGTTTGCCACAGAGCTGAACTGTCCTTTTCCAGGAGGAGCTGGAGCACACCCTAGGGGAGAGCGCAGCTCAGGGAGCAGCAGGAGTGGTGTTCTGGGTGAGCTCAGAGGATACAAATTCCAAGGTAAGCTTTGGTGCTGGGGGCATCAAGTTCACTAGGGCAATCTGGGCCCACCCTTCCACCTCTAAAGACCTGGCTGGCAGCATGGCAGTGTCTCAATGCCCTAGGTGGACCCAAGCATGGCCATGGTGTTCCTGATGCTCCCCTTCCCACCCAGGAATCATGCCAGGCCATCAAGGAGTATATGGATACCACATTGGGGCCTTTCATCCTGAATGTGACCAGTGGGGCTCTTCTCTGCAGTCAAGCACTGTGCTCCGGCCATGGCCGCTGTGCCCGTCGCCCCAGCCATCCTGAGGCCCTCCTCATCCTCAACCCTGACAGCTTCTCTATCCAGTTTACACCTGGTGGCAAGCCCCTGTCCCTGAAAGGTGCCCTCTCACTTAAAGATCAGGCACAGATGGCTATGAAGTTCAGATGTCACTGCTACCATGGCTGGCGTGGAGCATTGTGTGGGCAGCCAGACATGTGATGACTGGCCACACCAGTGTTCACACAATGAGCACCTAATGTACTCTGGGCTGGCTATGGCTTCCTCAAATACAGACACTGTCACTCAAATCATGGTCACATTCAGGAGTACACTGAGTCACCATCATGGGCATATGCCTTGCACACAAATGAACACGCAGACCAGGACAGCTACATAAGGAGGCAACAGGGGCAGACACCACAGACCCCATGTTCATAGATGTCTATGTGACAGGGTCATAGACAGTTCTTCTGGAGACAGTCTTTGAACTGTGCAAGCCTTGGGCTAAGAGTGCTAAATGGGCTAACTCACTGACTCTTCACAGTAAGTCTGATGAACCTACCGGGAAGAAGTGTACTTTTTGCCCTAGGTCACACAGCAAGAAAAGAGAGAAGCTAAGATTCAAACCAAGGCTGTCTGGGTCCATAGAAAAGGCCTTGTACACCTACTGTGTGTTGGTGGTAACCAGTCCCCTGAATCAGCAGATAGGCACCAGCCCCGCACAATCCAGCTAATAAAGTAGTCATGATTTACTTAGAGAGCTGTTCACTGAGCGCTTAGATTGTGCCGGCTCTGGGGCCCAGAGGGCAAAAGAAAACGATTGTCTCTTCCACCCAAATCTGACCTCAGCCTGAAAAATAAGCAACTGCTTGGGGGAGGGGAGGGCCAAGCCCCACCTGTTCGGGTCGTTTCCAGGAGGGATTGGCGTTGGAGGCAAGCAAAAATCCAGACCCTATAGCAACAGAAGGGACTGAAGTGGGCCAGGGCAAGGCGGAGTCAGCCCAGCGGAAGACACCGCCTGCGCCCAGCGGACACGTGACTCGCGCTGACCTGGGGCTGGACCTCGGTGGCCCCAAATTGTGGCAGGCAGAACGGTTACTCAGGGATCCCGAAGCGGAACTGCAAGGGGCCAGGTTGTGAGGAACGCAGCTCGGCTCTCGAGGCTAGAAGGTAGAAGCAGCCACGAGAAAGACACTGCCTGTGCGCTGGGTTAGTGTTGTGACGCACAGACCCACAGGCTGGGCCTGGGCCGTGACGCTAGCGTGGTGCCCAGCTGCAGTGAGTCCGCCGAGCCGCTGGGGGCCAGCGCGGGCGGCCTGAGGTGTGCGAGGCTAAGACAGCGAGATCCTGAGCCGAACGGAGCCAGGACGCGAGCATCCCGGAGTCTGCATTGAAATGTCAGTACCGCTCCCGCCTCACGCGCGCTACCCACCCATAACCTCCCACCCCGCACCAGATGTCTCCTAGAGGCCCTGCCACCCCCCACGTCCACTGTGTCTGTGGTTCCCAGAGCATGCTGAGCCACACCTACCCACAGAATCGGGCTTTTGAAGGCCCTAGCCCCGAGACCTCCACGGAACCGGCCCTCCTACTAGGAGGGATGAGGAACCCAAGGCGTCCGAAACAGGCAGGCCACTTTATGAGGACCTCGAGCCTCGCATCTCCCACAGTGAGTGGGGTCGGCATTGAAGGGGTTAAGCTCCCAGGGGGAGCCTGGGGTTCCAGGTTTAGAGGCGGATCTTGGGTCTTCCTTCCTCCAGACTATGGGGTGCTGCTGCAGCGGTGGCGACTGAAGCAGGTGAGAGGCTTGGAGCCCTGTAAGAGGGATGTGGCACGAGGGGAAGGAGGTACCTGTCACTGAATACTGTTGCTGAGTTGTCCTCAAGCTTAGGGAAGTGGGAAAGGGAAGCCAGGAACCACTCTCTGGAGCAGGTGAGTAGAGGGATGGAATCCAGCTGCCAAACCAATGCAAGAAATTTTCCAATGTGGAGCCTCCTGTCAGCAGGACCTAGAATAAGGTGGGCAGGCAATAGGGTTTGGGCACAAAAGTTCTGGGCTTCCAACGTGATGGCCGTTGGTAGATACCTCTGTGAATATAGGAAGGAAGCTGTGGTCCTCATCTAGGGTGGCTATGAAACTCAGCCCAAAAGGAACTAGGCCTGCAGAAGTAACAAGTCTGCAACAGTAGGCCAGGCCCTATGCTGCAGCTTCTAGGGTTCCATCTGTGTGGACAGTTGAGTCCATGCCCATAGTGTCCTAAACTGGGAAGAGTTGGAGAGGGGTCCATAGACTTTTTACCCCAAGCTGGGAATGCAGTAGAGGGAGGTAAAACTGAGCCTGGTGGGTGGGTTAGGGGGGCCCCAGGATCAACTAGATGGTGTGGCCCATGTTGTTGAAAACACTGGAAAGTGAAGGATTGCTGGCATGTCAGCAGAAGGAAGAGACAGAAGAACTGAGGGCAGTATTTCCTCTGATGAGAACCTTAGAGGGTACAAGCAGGAAGTACAGTGTATGGTTTACTCCTGCTAAAGGACTGCTAGAAATAAGGCTATCAGTAAGTGGGCTGTCCTGGCAAAGTGAGGTCCTAGGGACCAGATTGGAGTGGGCTAGGCCTGAGTTCTGCCCCAGCTGTCATCACTCACCATCACCCTCAGCCTTCTTCCATTGTGGGGCCGGATACCTGGATCCAACTGTCCTGTTCTCCACCTGAGTCCTCAGGTGTAGGGGATGAGTCTTTTCCAGGCCACCTGTACCATGAGGTTAATGTGCACTCCAACACTGTCTAGTTCCAGAATGCATGGCCCCCTTTGCAACTGACAGTCCTTCCCTGTTCCAACCCTGTCCTCATGGCACAACCAAGCATGGCTGTTATCCACAGGAGGACAGCCAGTATAGTATGAGAAGATGCCACTGCCGGGAGACTGTGGCCTTAGCTTCCAGCCTGGCCCTGAGCCATCCGCAACCTAATAGGAGGTGACCTTGGTTCCCAGTCTGACTCAACTGAGCCTGGATCCTATATGTAGGCAAGAGCCCTGACTCAACCAAACTGACCCCTACCCTAGACCCTGCACCCTGGATGGAGCTGATCCTGAGTACCAGCCTGGCTAAGCTGACTCTGAATCTTGTATACCAGCGAGAGGTGGCCCTGAGATTCAACTTGACCACATCAACCCTGGATCCCACACACCAACCAGAGCTGATCCTGAACCCTAGGATAGCTGAACTGACCCTGGATTCCAGGACCTTCAGTCCTGGCCCAGCTGAGCTTACCCTGGATTCCAAGCACCAGCTAGAGGACACCCCAGCTCCCAGACTAGCTGAGTTGACCTTGGAGCCTGTGCACTGCCGACCTGAGCTTATGGATGCTTGTGCTGACCTCATCAATGACCAGTGGCCCCGCAGTCGTGCCTCCCGCCTGCACTCCCTGGGCCAGTCCTCAGATGCCTTCCCCCTATGCCTGCTGCTGCTGAACCCCCACCCAAGATCGGAAGCAGCCCCCATTGTGGTGGGCCATGCTCGCCTGTCACGGGTACTGGACCGGCCCCAGAGCCTCTTGGTAGAGACAGTGGTGATAGCCCGAGCCCTAAGGGGCCGTGGTTTTGGCCGCCGCCTGATGGAGGGCCTGGAGGACTTTGCTCGGGTCCGGGGCTTTCGCCGGCTACACCTCACCACTCATGATCAGCTATACTTCTATTCCCACCTGGGCTACCATCTGGGGGAGCCTGTGCAGGGTCTGGTCTTCAGCAGCCAACGGCTACCCACCAGCCTGCTCCGTGCCTTACCTAGGGCTCCCACCTCCAACCCACCTTGCATGGTTCCTAGCTTGACTGTCCAAGCTGCTGCCCCAAGTAGCCCCAAGGGGCCCCCATTGCCACCACCCCCTCCTCTGCCCCAGTCCCTGACCACCTTACCCTCACCTCCAGCAGGGCCATTTCCACAGAACCTGCTGGAGACACAATACCAGGACCTGAGGGGATGCCCCATATTCTGGATGGAAAAAGACATCTAAGGGCCATCTCAGACAAGGCACTGTCCTGTGTCATTGAACTGTCCAGGACAGTGCCAGCCTCAGCCCACTGGCTATACCTCAGCCCCTATAGCCCCTGGTGCAGCTTTAGTCTGGGCATGTTTCCTGGCTACCAGCGGAGCCAGGAGATGATCCTGTAGTTCTGGCTCAGAGCTACCAGTATGGCTGAATAAAAGCTTCTGATGGGTATGGTTGTGACAATTTATTTGTTGACCCCCCACCCTCACTTCTCAGGTCCCCATCCCTGCAGAAGCCCCCAGGTCCAATTTGGCCTTGGGTCCTTTGATGGGGTGACGCTTGTCTTCTACCTCTCCCATCCTGCTAAGCTCAGGGAACAGAGTGGCAGTTCCCTTCCCTATTTACTCATTACCATTCACCAAGCACCTTCTGTATGTCAGACCTTGGATTGGGCATAGGCAGTGGGGAATTACAGATTGGGTACACATCCAAGAGAACAGACAAGCATTCCGTGGCAGGTTCTGTCTTGGGATAAGGAAGTACAGAGGCCTAAGGAGCCCAAGTGCCCTCACTCACCCTGGGGATGTAGGAAACCTATGGGAGGTGATGACACAGCAGAGACCCTAGTCCTGAGTAGGAAATAAGCCAGGCAAACAAGGAGGTGAGACTTAGTGTTCTTGGAGCAGGGAACAAGGTGGCAGAAAGAAAGGCTTGTGACAGTCGTGGATGGAGATGGTCTCAGAAAACACCCTGGTGCCTTGACAGAGACAGACAACCCTGGAGAGGAGCTGCCCAGGCTAGTTTGGTGTATGACTGCTCTGAGAGACCTATGGGACTCTTTGGGAGCTATGCTGTCTCCAGCCCCCCATCCTTGTGGGGAGGAGCTGGAGGAGCGTTCCCTGCTCTGTAGACAGTATGGCCATGGACTCTTAAATTCATTCCCTCTCTCCTACAGGTTTCCATCTCAGTGGCATGACCATGCAGCTAGGCCCAGCCCTAGTGCTGGGGGTGACCCTGTGCCTGGGGTGTGGCCAGTCCTTGCTACAGGTTCCTGAACGCCCCTTCTCTGTGCTGTGGAATGTACCCTCAGCACGCTGTAAGGCTCGCTTTGATGTGCACCTACCACTCAGCGCCCTGGGAATCATAGCCAACCATGGCCAGCATTTCCATGGCCAAAATGTTACCATCTTTTACAAGAACCAGTTTGGCCTCTATCCCTACCTTGGGCCCAGGGGCACAGTTCACAATGGGGGCATCCCCCAGGCTGTGCCTCTAGATCGTCACCTGGCAGAGGCTGCCCACCAGATCCGCCACAGCTTGGGACCCAGCTTTGCTGGCCTGGCAGTGCTGGACTGGGAGGAGTGGTGTCCACTCTGGGCTGGAAACTGGGGTCGCCGTAAAGCCTACAAGGCAGCCTCCTGGGCTTGGGCACAGCGTGTGTTCCCTGATCTGGACCTTCAGGAGCAGCTCCACAAAGCCCATACTGGATTTGAGCAGGCAGCCCGTGCACTGATGGAGAGCACCCTGCAGTTGGGCCAGGCACTGCGGCCCTATGGGCTCTGGGGTTTCTATCGATACCCAGCCTGTGGCAATGGCTGGCACCGTATGGCTTCAAATTACACAGGCCACTGCCATGCAGCCACCCTGGCCCGCAACACCCAACTGCATTGGCTCTGGGCTGCCTCCAGTGCTCTCTTTCCCAGCATCTACCTCCCACCCAGGCTGCCACCTGCCTACCACCAGACTTTTGTGCAACACCGGCTGGAGGAGGCCTTCCGTGTGGCCCTCGCTAGGTACCCACATCCTCTGCCTGTCCTAGCTTATGTCCGCCTCACACACCGGCACTCTAGGAAGTTCCTATCCCGGGTAAGTAGAAGGGGAGATATAGGGGTCTAAATTGGATATGGCCCTGTCCTAGGACAGTCTAAGGAGAAGTCCTTGCCCAAGGGAATTTGAGGGGGAGGTCCTAATCTAAGGGTTCTTAGGGGAAGGCCCTGTCCTAGAGCATCAGACAAGGGAGGTATGGCTCTGCACTGGAAGATCTCAAGGGGTAATGGTCTGAAGGCAACCCTGGTCTGAGGGAATCAGATTGAAAGGCCTGAGAAACTACTAAGAAGTTCAGTGCAGCTGGGTGTGGTGGCACACGCCTGTAATCCCAGCATTTGGGAGGCTGAGGCAGGAAGATCACTGTGAGTTCGAGACCAGCCTGGACTACCTAGTGAGTTCCAGGTCAGTCTCAACTACATAGTGAGACCCTGTCTCAAAAAACAAACAAACAAACAAAAAAAGTTCAGTGCCAAGGGCCTAACTCTAAAGAATCAGATCAGGGCAGTGAACTGGAGAGTCTCTTGACAATGGAGGTGGACCCAGATGGACCTGACAAGCCCAGTTCTGACTAAGCTCTTCTTCACCTTCAGGATGACCTGGTACAGACCATTGGTGTGAGCGCAGCACTAGGGGCAGCTGGCGTGGTTCTGTGGGGGGACCTGAGTTTCTCCAGCTCTGAGGTGATTATTTCCATCAGCCTTCCATACATCACATTCCTGGGGCCCCAAGGCAGGTGGAGGAGAGGGCATATCAAGGCCATGGAGTAAGAGCATTTGACACATCCTTTCCTTCCTTCTCAGGAGGAGTGCTGGCATCTCCATGACTACCTGGTGGGCACTCTAGGACCCTATGTGATCAATGTGACCAGAGCAACTATGGCCTGCAGTCACCAGCAGTGCCATAGTCATGGGCGTTGTGCCCGGCAAGACCCAGGACAAAGGGAAGCCTTTCTGCACATGCAGCCAGATGGTAGCCTTGGATCTTGGGAGTCCTTTAGCTGCCGCTGTTACCAGGGCTGGGCTGGTCCCACCTGCCAGGAGCCCAGACCTGGGGGCAGACCTAAGGAAGCAGCATAAAGTCAGAAGTCTCTGCCCTTGTTTCTTTGCCTCTTGCCACTTTCCTGGTCCTGTAAGAACTATCTGCTCTATTCAACTTGCAGTCAACTTTCCCAAATACACACTCTACTTCTGTTGATATGCTTTTTTTTTTTTTTGTACCGATGATCGAACTCAGGACCTTGCGCTTGCCACGCAGGTGGCGGAACCACTGAGCTAAATCAGGGGCCTTGGTATTCTTTAAGGGTGAAAAGAGGGGGGATGGGGGGCTTGTAGTCATCGGACTCTTCAAAAACTGCCATTCCAAGGCTTTGTTCCTACACCTTATTCATAGGTCACAAGAGACCCATCCAAGGGCAGCGAGAACCCCAAAACATCTGGATTAAGCTGTTATCTGTACTTTGTTTTCATCATAAAGTCACCTTTTCTTTCATTGTCTGAAGGTTGGGTGTTACCCCTATTCTATTAAGCACCAGACTCTTCCCACTGTGCCAGTGCCCTGCCGCAAGAACCCTGGACTCAGGTCTTGCGGAATATTTCTTCACCCTAAGGAAATTTGAGAGTTAACTAACAACTGTTCAGTTGACAACTGTTGTTTGTGCACCGCCTGGGGTGAGGGAGGGGTTAGTACACGCAGAGCATTGTGGGTGCATAGTTCAAACCAGAGCGGCAACGCTTTGTGAGTCCCAAAAGCGAACTACAGTTCCCTTGGTGCTCTGCGCCCAGCCCCAGCCCCTAATCTGTGCGCGCAGCCCACTGGGAATAATAGTTTTCGCGAGTGAAGAGTGGCTGGGAACTCGCCTTCCCGGCGACCTGCTTGGCAGGGCGGGGCGCCTCACGAAGATGGTGGCGCGCACGGCGTGTAGCTCCCTGCATCTTGCCAAGTTTCAGCGCAGAGCACTGATCAGTGCTTCGCTGGCCTGGAGCCCTTGTCCTCCGGGTCCCTGACCCTGCGCCCCTGTAACCCTACGCTCAGGTCCCGGCATGCCCCGCGCTCGTAAGGGCAACGCGCCCCGCAAGGGCGGCCAGCGCCGTGGAGGAGGTGAGTCGGGGGGCGCCAGGCTGCTGTTCAGCGGTGAGCAGGGGTCCTTGTCCCCGAGTTTCCAGGGTCGGGAAAACGCACCCTCGACCACCCCGGCGCAGTCTCGTGAAACTGCAGTAGTCAGCACGTGCCCTAGCAGGCATTGGCCACGTGCGCACCCAACTTGAGCAAATTGCCCTCTGCTTATTGAGCTTCCTAAACTTAAGGAAGCAGCGTAGACCCAGAAGCGTGGCCTTACCAGCACCTCCGGGTTTAGGTTTCCCCATTCCCCCTCTACGCCAGTTGCTATTACAGTGGAAAACCCACTGGACAATAGGAAGTCAGTCCCCTTGCCAAGACCTGGGATGGATTAGACAGGGAAGTTGTCACAGGCCTACTTGGAAGAACGACAGAGGTGCGATTTGGAAGCTACAGAATTGGGGCCTTTGCGATTGTGGACTTGGAAATTAGATGAATAACCTAGAGCCCGAGGCAGTCTTGGGATTCTGTTATCAGTCTCAACCAGGAGGCTGTTTGTTTTTTTTTCCCCTCCCCGGTAAACACACATGTTTACTCTGCGGGGATAGCATGAGAGCTAGGCACAGTTTTGACCTGGCCACCCTCCTAATAGGATCTGAGGGCAGAGTAGCATTTAATAGGGTAGTGACAACGCAATGCATACCAGGGCTGAAACTATTCGCAGAGTGGTGTCAGCCCCACACTCAGAAACCTAGGAGACCCCATGGGAGAGGCAACCAGGCGAGTCCTGAGAAGGTGAAGAGAGCCCCATGCAAAGAACATGTTGTATAAAAGTCTGGTAGCTGCACTGGAAGGAACCACAACACTGGACCAAGCAAGGGAAAGCTGGGCAACTTTAGCAGGTAGGGTGGTAAAAAAGAAATAAGCAGTGGCCATTGTGATGGCTAGAATTTTTCCTGTAGGCAAGGAGTTTAAGTAGTTCCAGAGAAGTAAGGCCAGCCTGGTGATGAGAAACTGTCAAGGCTTCACCACAGTAGCCACACTTGCCAAAGTCTCGGTGGCCCTGGACAGCACCCATACACCAGAATGCCTAGCCTTACTGCCCTGAAACTTCCCTGAGTTCACCTGTTTTCAGGAGCTCACGTGGTCAGAGCCTCTTTCAGGGTTAGAAGGAGCCAGTGTGTCTATCCACCCAGAGCTGAAGACCTTGGATGGAAAAGAGGAAGCTCAGAAGACAGTATACTTAAAATGTGGGGTACCCAGCATACCCAGTGGGAACTGGGCTTCTGTCCCAAGGGCTGATAGGTGTCTTGATGAGTTTGTTGGCCTGAAGTAAAGCCATACATAATAAATCACTTGTTTTCACCTGCTTCCCCTAAAAGAGTTTTGGTTTTTTTTTTTGTTTTTTTTTTTTTTTTTAAACAAAAACAGGGTCTCACTATGTAGTTGAGACTGACCAGGAACTCACTTTGTAGCTCAAGCTGATCTCGAACTCACAGCTATCCTCCTGCCTCAGCCTCCCAAGTGCTGGGATTACAGGTGTGCACCACCATGCCCAGCCTAAAAGAGGTATTTTTGATCTCTGTATATAGAGAAACTAAGGCCTCAGTTTGGCTTGATGGTGCACACCGATAATCCCAGCACTTGGAAGACTGAGACAAGAGGATTGCCACAAATTCTAGGCCAGCCTGGGCTATATTTAAACCTAATAATAATAATAATAATAATAATTAATAAATAAATAAATAAATAAATAAAGAGAGATCTTAAAGCCTGTGTAACTGATCCAGTTCTACATCTGTTAAAATATGAAGTGGAGACTGAGATGGAAGAAGCCAAGTGGTAGAGTACTTGCCTAGTGTGCATGAGGCCCTGGGTTTGATTTCCAGTGCTTGGGGGAAAAATGTAGAGTTGAGATTAGAATCCCGGTCTACCGAACTCTATATCTAATCCCGTGTGTGTGGTACTGGGGATTGAACTCAGGCCCTTGCTCTTGCAAGGCAGGCAGTGGAACCAGTGTGCCAAATCCCCGGCACAAAGTACCTTAACCAGAGCTTTTTTTTTTTTTTTTTTTTTTTTTTTTT